GCGGCATTGTCAATTTTGCCCTGGAAATTTAAAATTTATTTTTTTCGGGAAAATATCAAGCAGAAAGAAAAATTTCTATGTTGCTGATGGGCATGCCGGAGCGGGAAGCAGCGATACTATAGGGTTGGTGATAGAGGCTTCGACTCTGCTGGTGAAACAAAACAAAACACTGAAATGTGAATGTATGTTCAAGCTCTCTAAAAAAAAAGTCACGGAAAATGAAATCATCCAAACCTCCGCCAAATGATGAGTAAACCTCCTCACTCCGTCCGGAAAAGCCAAGTGAAAAAAGTATCCAACAAGATTTTAATGAAAATTAAAAACCAAAATTCCCCCGTGTTAGCTCTCCGCAAAAACACACGCCAGTACAAATTTACCATCGAAATGATTGAACTGTAGCGTACGAACGAAACGACCTCTTCAAATTATTTGTCATTTGCGTTCCTATTTTACGTTGCCGTCTTTCCACATTTCTGATGACGTTTGGCAGTGGTAAATGTCAAAGGATCGCTGAGAGGGAGGACGAAGGAAAGCAAGGGGAGGGGAAAGGGAAGAGGGGGGTGTGGAATAAAGAAAGAGAGGGGGGAGGGAGGGGAGGAGGTAGAGAAAGGGATGGCGCCGGCGGAGGGAGGAGGGGGGAGGTTCGTGGCGCGGAATTTTGCGGAGATTTCCAGCAACAGGTGCACTGGAGAGCTTCCAGGCATTCTTGTTCGATTAGACTACTTGTATCTTTGCCCACTCGATAAAAACGTTAACTTATTCTTGGAAAGCTTTTGCTTTGCTCTAAGGACCATTACACAAGGTCTGGTTGCCCCACTGGTGAAATCGAGCCCTTACTTCCCTAAGCGACAGCAGCGCAACTTCCTAGCGCCCCATTCCGTCATATTTTAGTGAAAGAAAAAGTGCACAAAAAATATAAATCAAAGTAAACAAATATTGCACCTGTAGAAAAAATTTCTTTTTGGATGTAATTCTGTCTAATCGAGTTTTGTTTTTATTTCATCTTCAGTTCTTTCATCTTTTCTACTCTCCTGATATCCAGTAAATAGTACCTGAGAATCTGTGACATTGTTTCTTTCCGGCTGCTCCCGTGAAATGGAAGATTGCCCGTGAGCATCTCGTACTGAAGAAAAATGAACAGTCAGGAATCAGTTCTGTGCTGGAGTGCACTAGCTTGTCGGTGCGATCATGTGTTTTTGCATTACGCTTAAAGCAGTTAGATCGCTCACTGCATAATGATTGTTGCTTGCATTTAGTTTATGTATCCATTAGCGCAAGTCAAAACAAATTTTGCACAAAGAAAATGGATAAGTTTCGTTGAGCAGCCGTTATTTTCGATAAGCAGTCTAAGTCGTACTGTACCTGAGACGCAGACACTCCCTAAAATTTTAGCGCTGCAGCTTTGCCAGTTCTCGAGTTAACAGTTTTCCTGCCAGAACTTCCACGTGGTCAGAAGTACGTGGAGCTAGCACGATGTTCCTAGTTCGTGGCTTTTTCCAGGAAAAATCGCTAGCAAAATTTTTAGCGTCGAGTTTGATCCCCGAGTTGAAATACCCGGATAAACATTCACACGCACTTATTTACCACGAGCCGTTTTTTGCATTTGCATATATGCAAAACCGCATGATGAAGGGAGAAATTTTAAATCGCTGCAAAACGCAAATTATTGCTGAAATAAAATACATCCTCAAATATTCGCCTGCTCAGTTTGTTCCTGTCAAGCTTGCCGGTTTGTTGTTTTGTTAGCTTCTAATCATAATTTCATTCTTCGCTTATTGTCTGGCAGCGGGAGAGTTCCAGTTTGTCCTGACAGAAATGTTTTTTGTTGTCCTCATTCGCTGCTTTCTATTTCCCTATCAAGAGAGTCAGGCCGTGCATCAATTTTTTTTTTTCTGCGAAGGTGTGGCTCTGGGGTATTCGCTGCCCCTGTTTCGAAGTAACCGAGTTCCTTCCTGATTTTGGTGGAGGAACCCCTGTTTTATCTAAATTTCGCTTGCTGGTGGTTGTTATCAAAACTTGCAAAACAGAGGGATCCGCAGTGATGACTTACAATGTCAAAAATACTAAAAAAAAAAAAATCCTAGGCTGCCTAGCTCCTGTTTCTCAAGTGAAATATTTATTGCCAACACTGCTGTAAAAAGAGCTGCCGTCTTTTGTCCGCGCAAGACCATTCAACTGCTCTCGGTGCTCGTTGCTTGTTGGTTAAGCAAGCAATGCTCCACTTTAAGTTTTTTCCCTACTGGTTTGATTTTGAGATAGAATGAGGCGTGCGGTCGCGTTATTCCTATTCATTGCAACGATCAGCCAAATACAGTCATGCGAAGTGGACGGAAAGACTTACAAAAATGGCGAAACTTGGGTCATCCTTTCTCGTTTTTTCCAAGAAATTAATTTTTTTTAACAGTCTGAACCACATACAGAGCCCGCACGCTTGACGCAATGAAGAGAACACGGTGGGACTTTTTCCGTTCAATTTACTGCACAAAGACATTTACGTTCCCGCTCGTCCAGTGCAAGCTAATGCCTCCAAAATTAACTGTTTGTCGACTGTGACAGTGAAAATGAATGATGCATCTCAGCAAACACTTTGCTTTTAGACCGATGAACATTTCGAATTCCAATGTGTAATAACTGAAGATGAGTGGTACACGCAAGTCACTGCATGCTTTTCGTATTTAGGTGATCGAGTGGAAGTGGGCAAGGAAATTAGGACTAAAGACGGACTAATACTCAAGTAAGATTCTTGCAACAAACGTTAAATATCATTTTGCTATGAAAAATTAAACTGTGGTAAAATTAGATGAATTTAATGGACTGAAATGTTCCAGTTCAGGGCTCCATTTTTATGCGTTTTTTGCAGCAATGCAATGCGAAAAACGCATATTGACGAGAGGTTGTCTGTGTGTCCGTGTCTGTGTGTCTGTGCGTCTGTGTGTTTGTGTGTCTGTGTGTGCGTCTGTCACGCACTTTCATTTCAAGACCTATAAAAGCTGCGGGGCTGAAATTTCGGGAACTTAATCTACATGCACGTACCGCCTCCAATCCCCAAAATGCGCGCCAAAGCCCGCTTGATACTCGCGTACAGGCCCGCCAAAGTTTTTTTGGGGTCAGTTCATAACTCGAGGATCTGAGAAGCTAGAAGGCTGAAATCTGTCCCAAAGTTTTTTCGGGGTCAGCTCATAACTCGAGGATCTGAGAAGCTAGAAGGCTGAAATCTTGGAGTAATGTTCCCGCCCAAGTGGCTATTAGTGGGCTCAAACCCAGCCCCCGGGTAAGCGTGGTACCCCCGCACGAGCCCCCTTAATGTTCCCCGCCCAAGCGGGTATTAGTGGGCTCAAACCCAGCCCCCGGGTAAGCATGGTACCTGTCCCGCGCCCAAGCGGCTATTAGTGGGCTCAAATCCAGCCCCGGGTAATCGCGGTACCCGCGTACGGACCCGATCAGTTCATAACTCGAGGATCTGAGAAGCTAGAAGGCTGAAATCTTGGGGTAACGTTCCCCGCCCACAAGTTCATAACTCGAGGATATGAGAAGCTAGAAGGCTGAAATCTTGGGGTAATGTTCCCCGCCCAAGTTCATAACTCGAGGATCTGAGAAGCTAGAAGACTGAAATCTTGGGTTAATGTTCCCCGCCCAAGCGGGTATTAGTGGGCTCAAACCCAGCCCCCGGGTAAGCATGGTACCTGTCCTCCGCCCAAAAGGCTATTAGTGGGCTCAAACCCAGCCTTCGGGTAAGCGTGGTACCCCCGTACGAGCCCGCCAAAATTTTTTTTGGGTAATTTCATAACTCGGGGTTTTGAAATGCTAGAAAGCTGAAATTTTAGGGTAATGTTCCCTGTCCAAGCAGGTGCTAATGAGCTCAAATCCAGCCCCCGGGTAAGCGCGGTACTCCCGTACGGGCCCGCCAAAATTTTTTTCGGGTAAGTTCATAACTCGGTGATCTGACAAGCTAGAACGCTGAAATCTTGGAAGTATGTTCCCCATCCAAGTGAGTATTAGTGAGCTCAAACTCAGCCCCGGGGTAAGCGTGGTGCCCGCGTACGGGATCGCCAAATTTTTTTTCGGGCAAGCTGGTAACTCGAGTACCTCAAGAAGCTAAAGACTTGAATTTTAAGAGGATATATCCCGTCCAACTGAGTTTCATTCAGCTCAAACCTGTTCTCGGGTATACTTGTTAAACTCGTATGGGCCTATGAAATTTTTTTTCCAGTAAGTAGCTAACTCAGGAGCCAGGGAAGCTGGAAAGCTGAAGTTTCAGTGGGGTGTTTTCTGACCGTTCTGGCGGCCAGTCTTAATTTGTTTAGCTAGAAGCATTTGCCGAAAAGCCGGTGCCGGTAGCAA